TTCTTCTTCTTCTTCTTCTTCTTCTTCTTCTTCTTCTTCTTCTTCTTATTATTATTATTAATATTCCCCACAGCTTGTACGGGACCAGTTTCCCAATCGCGAGCCGGACAAAGAGAAGAGGGATGCCGCCAAGAAAGCTGTGAAGAACCTGATCGAAGTGCCGCCCGTCACCCCCATAGACAAGTGAGTAGCACAACCTAGAGTGCGGTCAAACATTCGATGTGCAACTTATCCTCAAATATCTCTTTAACGGGTGCATCAATGTCATCGATACATTGCACAGCTGTTTGTATCAATTTGTCTTAACTAAATCGTATTTTTATAGAACAATTGGGGCTAGGTTAAAAACTTTTATTCACAAATGTATATAAATACTTGAAATCTCTGTCACACGTAAATGGGATTGTTCACAGCATTTCCCGCTTCTCACACATATTTTGATTATGCATATGGCCTACGTCACAGCTCACCAATGACAATTTTTACTTGCAAAACTTGTTGCAAGAAAATATTTTTTATAGTGAACAATAATATTTTGCCCTAGTGGTTCTCAAAACATGCGTTCAATAAGCATAATGTCCCGATTCGAAGAACTATGACGGACTTGCTATTAAAAGCAATATTGCCTCTGCTGTAAACATTTTAAAATCTGTAGAAACCACCCACTTATATTTTTTATTAGTATTTATAAAGGAATTTTCTAGAATACAACTTGCAAGTGTTTACAAAAATTTTGATCCGTTAAGACAAATTGATACATGTATACAAGTCATAGTGCGAAAATTGAAGAACCTATGTTCTCTAGTTTAGGAGATATTTGACAATAAGTTGTGCCACGAATTTTTCAACTCACTATAGTAGATTTGCTTGTTTTAGCAAAAATCGCACTTAACAAGATTGTTCATTCGGCCAAAATAGTGTCCGCGGAAGTCCGCACATTGGTTCAGATGGCGCTGCAGTCTTTGTTTTGAAGCTCTCTTTCGTTTCTCCAGGAGAAGAATAGGAATAGCAGTTTGTTAGTTTCACCTTTGCTGTTTTACAAACAAATTATCATTCTCTCCTATCATATATCTATCCTCTCATACCCTCTCATCTCGTTCGCCCACTACAACTCGTAGAGTCAAAATGTTATACTTTGACAGAGTGACTTTTTTCTGGAGCAAAACCAGGTCGAGCTCTCTCAAGTTGAAACATGAGAAATTAGGACTTTCTCAACAGTGTACAGTACAGCTCTGTATGTAAAAAAAAATCATATAAATCATAGTGCAGAACGATAGAGGGGGGTAAAAAGAAAGAAACGAAGGGCAGAAAAGAGTAGGAGAAAAAGGA